GACGCCCACGCGGATTCCCCGCCGCCGTCGGTCGTGGCGGCCTTTCGGCTGATCCTCTTCCGTCGAACCTTCGTGATGCTCGCGACGACGCAGGATCTCGACCGCCTTCCGCCCCTCGTGGCGCGGCTTTGCCGGCGGGAGGAGCGGGGGCTGGCGGGCTTCCTCTACACCCGTCTGCTCCCGCCCACCGCGCGAAAAAAAGAGGATGTCGGGGTGCTCGCCCTCGCGCGGCTGTTCGGCAGCCCCCACGGCCTCGCCGCGCTCGCCCCGGAGGCGCTTTTCGACGACGCGAAGTTTTTCCCCGCGGTGTTCACCGCCTCGACCTGTCGGGTGTGTTTCGGCGCGCACGACTGGCAGGGCTGCCCGATCCTCACGCGGGACTTCGGCGCGCCGCGGGCCGCCGCGATTCGGCTTTCCCCGGAAGAAACCCAACGCGCGGCGTTCTCGCGGCTTCGGCTGCTTATCCAGCAGGCGGTCCGGCGGGAAGGCGGGGAGCCCTCCGCGCTCGTCGTCGAGGCGTATACGAATTTCATCACCTCGCCCTTTCGCGAGCCCTTCGCGGCGGCGAACCCCGATGAGGCGAATCAGCTGTCGGGGTTGCTCAGCGATTTCCATCAGTACCGCCGCGCCGCGGTCGTGTTGTGTTGCATCCCGCTTCATCTTCGCCACGATGCGGCGTACGGCCGTTTGCTTCGCTATTTTGACGTCTCCGAGGAGGAGGGGAAGGGGGTGCTCGCCTCGCGAAGCCCGCTGGGCGTCCGGGATGATTCCCATCCAAATTTTGTGCAAGTTACGCGAACCTGCTGCGTTTGCTTGGATCTCCGCCACGCCTCGCACGGGTGCCCGATGTTGGTAAGGTGGCTGGAGAAGGTTCGCCGCCTCGGGGGCTCGCCAAATCCGTTGGAAACCTCGAAAAAGGAAACGGAGGGGGCGAAACGGCGGGAAGAGGAGACGAGGCTTCGCGCGCAGGTGGAGGGGTGGACCTCCACCGGCCCGGAGCGCCTCCACGCCTTCTATCGATTCCTCCTCGAAAAGGCGGAGGGGTTTTCCCCACCACGGCTGCGATCGCAGCTTTTTCAACCGCACGAGGAACCTTTGGAGAGGGGGGGTGAGGGGGTTCTTTCGGATGCCGTGAATACCTGCCTTATGAAGCTTCTCGCGGCGGAAAAGCTTTCTTACGCGTATCGACTCTACGCGCACGCTCCGCCGGGGTGGGTCTCACGGCGAACAACGAGCGCCCTCCTCCGCGCGAACGGTTTTACCGAGGAAGGGATCACCACCCTCCTCGACGGTGACCAACACGCGATGGCAGCGGGGGAAAAGAGGGGGGTTTCCTCGCATGGGAGGATCCCCGAGGCCGCGCGAAACGCCGCGGTACCTCTTCAAGAGTGTTGTTTGATTTGTTTCCGCCCGGGGCACGCGTTTTGGGATTGCCCGGAGCTCGCCGCGCAGGCGACGCTTCCTGGAAAGCTGCAATTCGTCCTCAAACAGGTGGGGGGCATTCGTTGCTCGCCCGAAG